CGCTGCTGTCCACTCTGAAACCAGCTTATTCAACACATTTGATCTTTAAATTAAAGTGACAGTTCACCCCAAAATACATATTTTTCCTCTCTATAGTGCTAATTGGCAATCTATATTGTTGTAGCGGCAATCTTCCCTCCGTCCGATAGTCCACATTACCACTACTGTTACAGTCTGTGTTTGGCAATAAGCTTGACACATAATGATTCTTCAGAGGCAGTAACTCCATGTAAAAAGGTTTACTCAACAAAATAAACCTACAAGAAACATTTTGTGCTCAACTTGTCACAGCGTTGGCCCAACGGTCAAAAAACGAACTTGCTCCGCAGACTGATTAACCTCAACTGAGGGCTGTTGGCTGTGATGTAGTCAGTACTGGTCTGTGTTCCAGCTAGCTGATGGGATTGCTAAAGAATTATCAGGTTGAGAGCATTAGAAAGTTTAGAAATGAATTTATCTAAATTTGTGAATTGGATTATGTCGTTAATTATTTTGAGAGGTTGATGTGGGTTCTAAGTTGTGTTGATTTTTGCTTTTATTATGGTTTCAATTAGTATGTATTCCAAATACTGGTGTCTCCGAAGTTCGTGCTTCTTTGAAATCCATTTTTACGGTGCGGCCAATGCTTTTCCTTTTAGTTAATTATTGTAACGCTGGCTGGCATAGAACAGGCAGAAACCCACAATCACGACTCATGAGAGTTACTATGTAAAGAGCAAAGTCAAAAAAAATCTTTAATCCAAAACTAGGTAGAGGTCAAAACCCGTCGGCTAAACACAGAAGGCAAACTGTGTTTAAAAACAAAAAGGAAATCAGGCAGGTAAATGACAAGAACGCTATGCTTTGCTCAATGCAAAAGACAGTCTGGCAGAAGATAAGTGCAAGTGGGTCTGTATATCCTGCTGAGATAATCAGGAAAATGTGGAGGTGAGTGAGTGGGTGGGTGGAGCAGAACAGGTGGTCAAACTTAGAGGACAGGTGGGAGTCGCTGGGTCTGTTATTGACAAGGAAAACCTGACTGAATGAGTGGACAGGTAATCAGGAAGATTCACGACAGATATTTGACATACGGGTGTACTTCAAAAACCTGTCTTGATATGGCATGTCACAGAAAGACATTATAAAAATGTAAAATAATTTCATAAATTTGGTATTTGGAGGCCCGGGAAGGAATGTGCAGCATTCCTTGTATGTTACTTCAGTCTACTGTCTGCTTTAATCTCATGTCGTTCACATTAAAGTGTACTTGGTATTAACCACACAAACACACAGAGAATAATAGTAAACCTGCATGTATCTCAATGCTTCATGTTGACAGTGGTCCATTAGACCAGTCCTGGGACCTTCTTCAGCATAGCATTAGCAGCCATTAGCATCAGGTTAAAGGGTGACACTGAATTGAACCATTAGTTAGCTTCAGCTCAAGACGCATACAAGATACTTCTCACACACTGCCTTAAACATTGAAAATGGGAATGTGCTTTGGATCATAACAATTTTTATCAGTTACAATAGAGGGATGAAAACTTAACAGTTCGTAATGCCAGTCCTAGTGATACAGAAATAATAGATACAAAAATATACAAGAATTGTGAATTGTGCCTGCACATAATCATTTGCTCTACTTTTGTAATCATTACCTATAGTAAAGACAAATCACAAACACATTATTACTAAAGCGTTTCATTCTATTGCTCTTTGTATTCCCTTGAAATGTACTTTGGAAATAAAATAAATGTAAGAAATGCTACAGCATACGTTTATTGTAAAAACATGTCTTAAGTATTTTAAAGTGACTCTAAAAAAAGCATGCCCAAGCCCTTATGGTCCCAGAACACTCTGTGGTATCTAAGGTCCTTCCACTTTGACAATATTGATCTGTTGATCCTGTGAAGAGAGGTTAGAGTCCATCACTGGCTGGGTAGACGCACTGCAGTCCTGGAGAGTCCTTGAACAGCTTCTTGGGAAATCAGATGTTTTACTCTCGGATCCTCTGAAAGTCTGACAATGTGACTGGTTGTATGTAGAGACATAGGATTGTGTGTAGGGTTGCATGAGTGTTTGACTGTTTTGCTGTGGGTATGCAGCTGCATATGGTTGTGTGCGAGGGGGAGTGTGAGTAAGTGGGAGGTTCTCAGCATTGCTACATGGTGGAAGCCCATTCATATTCGAAGGGCACAATCCTGGCAGTTTAAAGGCCTCTACATGTTCTAAACTCTCTAAAGAGTTGAAGCTTGGCTCGGTTTGGCTGCACTGGGTGTACGTGCCTTGACTGTTGAAGTTGAAGGTGTCCTGCTTGAAGGAGGTAGATGCAGAAGCTGTTGGCAAACCAGATGGCGATGGAGTTTTGGTGTGCTGCTGTTGAACGATGCTGCAACGTCCCAGTTTGGTGGCAAGAGTCTGTAGAGTGATGAGGATCTGCTTCTGAATGTGTGTCTGCTGCAGCTGCTCCCTCTCCAGGCAGCACTGCTGCTCCACCAGCATCTTCACTGCCAGACCCAAGCTGCGCACCTCAGATCCCAGGGTCTGAATCTGATCCTGTAGACCACCTCTACCCTCCCCGGGGTCCTGGACTGCCCGCTGGGGGCTCGGGTTCCTCTCACTACGAGTGGTGCCCTGGCCTCCAGGGGTCTGTAAGCGGATGACGGCAACCCCAGGAGCCGAAGACGGTAAAGGTGCTGGTGACCGGTTAGGAAGACGAATGCCAACCCGAGGGATCGGGTGAAGGGAACGGGAAGACAGACAAGGTCTCTGTGTAAGGAAACGTCTGGGGGTGCTGCCTCCACCAGATTGACCTTCCATAGCAGTCTGTGCAACATAACAAAAATATCATAAAGATTGTGGAAAAATATGAAATGCAATCTTAATAACATTACAATGAATCTTGAATGAAAATTCAGGCTCCCAGAATCAGGTGAGGACATACTGTATGCTGCAATACTACCCGGTGCCAGCAACTGGTGTAAAGGATTACTCACGATGTACTGTGGCCCGGTCACATCAGTTGACTGAAGTCTGTCATCGTTTAGTGCTGGCACACACTTTAGTTAAAGTCAATAAAGGCGGAGATCAGGTTTGCTCTTTCCTCACCTTTTCAGTGGTCAGATCATAAGTTTCAGGTTGTTGTGGCATTGCACCTCTCAAATCATCACTTTGGACACTTGAGTAATCTCTCCTTAACGATGGCGCTACCTGATGTAATAACTGTTGAAAAACATTGTGTGAGAGTTAAGATTGACAGATGATTTGATTCCTTTATTATTTCACGCATTATACAGGTCTTGTGCAATGCTAAGCAAGAATTACAAACTTAATATTTGAAATTGTGTCAAATGTGAGAAATGATGTGCAAGTAGGTACCTTCATCCTGTGTGACAGCGCCTTGTCCAAAAGCCTCTTTCGAGCTGCCAGCATTGAATTGGTGGCTGGAGAAGGTGTAGCTCTCCTCTTCATAACTCCAGAGACTGTTAGTGTGGAAGACAAAGCACTGGCCTCTGCTGTTGTTACCGTGGGGGGAACTGTTGGTTGGCTGCTCTGTGCAAGGGAGGTGACGCTTACGATCTGGATGTCATTTTCTTCCTTATCTTCCTCGTGTTGCTGTTCTGGCCGGCTGCCTCCACTAGTCTCCCCATACCCAGATGGCTTTACTCCAGTATCTGGATTTGTGGAAGTACGTTTGGCAAAATTGGCAGCTGCTACAAAGCCAGCATGGTGAGATGCCTCCCGCAGAAGATTTTGGATTTGAATGTTACTCCAGCTCTCTTGCATTGCCCCGGCTCGAGGCTGCACCTGTGCGGGTGATGCGCTGCTTCCAACC